AGTTACATGTAAAGGCATCAGCTTTTTACAGCATAATACTCACTACTCATTACTCGAGTACTTTTGAGGTCAACTTTTTACTTATACTTTGAGTAATATTTGCACTACACTTTAGGCAGTTAATGGTACTTTACCTAAAGTAGGATTTTTCAGTACTCTTAACCCCAATGTGTGTCAGCATTGTGGCAGATTCAAAAACAAGACTAACGTCATATGCTAATGAAGGAGATATGGTCACTAGTGGGTGGGGCTTTCCCCCTCTGATGACACATACAAATGGAGAATGTCAATCAAAGTGTTTCTGCAGGCTGATTTTATCAAGTGTGATTATAAAAACCAGAATTGATAAATGTTTACTATTAGAAGTGGACTATATTGACACACTGTTCCCACACAACTGTGTTTAAACCCCTTATAAAAGTGATTTTTGTGTAATAGGTCCTCTTTAAAACTGGTTTTCGTGCTCTAATTTTTACATAAGAACATATGAATCACCATATTTCTAACACTAAACCTAATAGTGTGCGTGAAACGAAAGATAAACCTGTCATGTGTGTGTAAATCAGCTCTTAAGCCCACAAAAATACAAACCAAACCTCACAGTATTCACTCTAAAGCTGAACCTCCTAATCTGCTCTGCTGGAAAAGAAAACACACACACACACACACACACACAACACACAACACACAACACACAACACACAACACACAACACACAACACACACACAACACACACACACAATAAAATTACACAAATTCTCCTCATCTTCCTGATGGTGATTTTCCCCTTACGTATGCAAGCCAGACTCAACATTCAGCCCTGGTTTTTCTACATTTTTATCAATAGGTATTTATAGAATGAGCCAGAAAAAACAACATTGTGTCAGCTGTATTAGCCGCATCTGAAAGCATCATTAGAAGAAGTCTGAGTTTTGGCAGATCTCCATTAAAATTCATTGACAGCTGCATTTCTGGACTGACAAAAGATGACAGATCTGTCCTCCAGCGTCAGGATTTCGCACTCATTTCATCATGATCATCATCAAGGCACAAATACATCAGAATGCTTCTACATGTAATGGCACAAACTCTTAAGTAAGATATTTCTAGGTGTGGATGTTATTTGTAAACATATGATGATCATGTGCATGTTTTTTTTTTTTTTTGAGCCCGAAATTTGAGGATTTTTGCCATTCTTTTTTGATGCTTTATCTAAGATTTTAAACGGATATAAAATTAATAAATACATGTAAGATAAATAAATACATATTAAATAAATATCAAATTAAATTAAAATTAATTAAATAAAGTAAAATTGTATAAAAATTAAATAAATTTTTTTATTAAATTAAATAACATTTAATATTTAATAACAGTCTCCTATACCTCCTCCCACTTTTTCATAACTAACAATAAAATAATAATAATAATAAATAGTAATGATAAAATATTCAAGTAATATAAAATAAATCAAGTTAAATAAATTAGTAAATACATTTTGGCGTTCGGGCAATTTTGGATTAAAAATAAAATGAAATTAAATAAATATAAAATGAATAATTACATATAAAATTAAAAAATAAACTTAAAATAAAAGATAAATGTAAAATTAAATTCAATTAAAAATTAAAATTACAAAAATTCAATAAAATTAAATAAAAAATTTTATTAAATAAAATTAAATTAACTTAAATAAAATTACATTAAAAAATCTCTTAGTCTCCTATAGCTCCTCTCACTTTGACATGACTAATATTACAATAATAATATTAAATGATAATAATGAAATATTCAAGTAATATAAAAGAAATCAAATTAACATTAAAAGGCTGCACAGACAAACTGTATTTTGTATAAATAAATAAATAAATAAATAAATAAATATATATAAATGCTTTTTATGCTAGCTTAGTTATGGTTGAGGGTTTGCTTACCCTTTTACTTGACATACATGTATAAATAAATTGTACTAAAAATTAAATAATAATACGAATGAACGAACAAACAAATGAAGGAAAGAATGAAGAAAGAAACGGACAAATGAACAAACGAAGGAACAAACTAAGGAACGAATGAAGGAACAAACAAAGAAACAAACAAAGGAACAAACAAAGGAAAGAACAAAGGAAGAAAAGAACAAAGGAACGAACAAATTAATGAACGATGAACAAACAAACAAAGTTTTGTTCCTCGTCACTGGCTTGCTTGGTTTGAAACTTATGGAGCTGTGCATCGATGGATTTGCTCTTCAGTGTTTGGACTTCAGCAGTGAAAATTAAACCACACTGAACTGAATTAAAACTGAACTTCAACTCTGAAAACTAGACTGACACGGTTTCAATTTACTAAAACTTCTATGTTAAGCTGCTTAGACACAATCTACATTGTATAAGCGCTATAGAAATTAAGATGAATTGAAGTTGAATTGAATGAAAGAAACAACGGGTCCATGTCATTCCTGTCCATTGCCTAAAAGCTCACTTTAATACTGAAGGTTACACAAAAATGAGGAAAGAAAAACTGAAAAAAGAAAGAAAGAGAGAGAGAGAGAGAGAGAGAGAGAGAGAGAGAGAGAGAGAGAGAGAGAGAGGCAGATGTCAGTAATAATAGAGATGAACTGTAGGACACAATATTTTTCATCAAGAGGAAATGACCTCATAAATCAGAGAGCACATGTAAGACAACGAGGACAAAGGTTGAGGAGATGACAGAGATTCATCCTTATAGGGGTCATTTACTTGAAAAAAGTCGTTTTTTTCTTGCTCTTGTGAAACAGAAAAGCTCAATCTCCTCCAGTGCATCTGAACTGGGTTTGATTGAGGACACAGAAGCATTGTAATATACAGTCTGCACATCTGGTAGAACATTAATGTAGTTTTTTGTGGTGACATCCATGAGTATGAGCACTGGGTAAACACACACTACAGTTTCATGCTTCTTATAACCCCCGGAGCCTCATGCAAAATACAGTCCCAAACAATTTTGCAAGCGAGGTCAATCACACCAAATGTATGTCCAGTTCTGAAAATGCAAGACTAAGCAAAAAAATAGATGAATTCTCACTACCCCGCATTCTTGATGTCATGCGCTCCAGCATTTAGACCAGTGATACAGTGGTAGCCTAGTAACATAAAAAGCACAGTGCACTGCTATTTACAAAGACAAAAATGTGCTGTGCATTTTATGTTACTAGGCAACCACTGTATCACTGGTCTTAATGCCAGAGCGCATGTAATCGAAAACGCAAAGTAGTCAGAATTCATCCATTGTTTATTATTATTACTTATTATGATTACTTACTTTAATAATATTACTTAAATCAGGCACACAATTATTTATACATATTCATATTCAATTATCCAAATGCTTGCCTACTCTTACTGACATTGCTACCAATTCAACTGGTTACCTGGAAACAAAAACTTCTCTATACTACTGTCAACAAAATGCAGTTCACTGTGCTTTTTATGTTACTAGGCAACCACTTTATCAATGATGCTAATACGAGACTGCATGACATAAAAAATGTGAGGTAGTTAGAATTAATCTGTTTTTTTTTTGTTTTTTTTTTTGCTTTTTTTATATTACTATCATTATTATTTAATATTACTACTAAAGTCAGGCTTAAAACTATTCATACATATTCAAATTCAATTATTCATAGTTTGTCTACTAATGATTTTGCTACCACCGCCGTTCAAATCCCGCATCTACCAACTGCACAGAAATCAACTGGTTGCCAAGTAACATAAAAAGCACAGCACACTGCTCTTTACTACTGTCAACAAAAGACAGTGCGCTGTGCTTTTTATGTTACTAGGCAACCACTGTATCACTGGTCTTAATGCTGGAGCACATGACATCGAAAAGGTGAAGTAGTTAGAATTCATCTTATTTTTTTATATTGTTATCATTATTATTATTTATTTAATATTACTAAAGTCAGACATGAAATTATTTATATTCAATTATTCACACGTTTGTCTAATCTTACTGACATTGCTACCACCTCCGTTTAAATCCCGCATCTACCAACTGCAAGGAAATCAACTGATTACCTATTAACATCAAAAGCACAGCACAATGCTCCTTACTACTGTCAACAAAATACAGTGCACTCTGCTTTTTATGTTACTAAGCAACCACTCTATCACTGGTCTTACTACTGGAGCACACGGCTTAGAAAATGTGAGGTAAAATTCATTTTTTTTTTTTGCTTTTTTAATATTTATTATTTAATACAACTTAAGTCAGGAACGAAAGAACTCAAACATTCATATTCAATTATTTACATTCGCCTACTCTTACTGACCTTGCTACCACCGCCGTTCAAATCCCACATCTACCAACTGCACAGAAATCATCTGGTTGCCTAGTAACATAAAAAGCACAGAGCACTGCTCCTTACTACTGTCAACAAAAGACAGTGCACTGTGCTTTTTATGCTACTAGGCAACCACTGTATCACTGGTCTTAATGCTGGAGGGTATGACATCGAAAACATGAGGTAGTAAGAATATCTATTATTTTTGCTTTTTTATTATTTGTATCATTATTATAACCTATTTAATATTACTACTGAAGTCAAGCACGGTTGACCATACGTATTCAGTACATATTAAATTATTCATATGTTTGTCTACCACTACTGTCGTTGCTACCAATGCGGTTCAAATCCCGCATCTACCGACACAGAAATCAACTGGGCTGTAACGCATGTTGCTTTGAGATTTGAATATTTCATCAATTGTGTGAGCTGATGATCTTCATACAAGATCTGGCAACTTGACAAACTTGAAAATTAATTTGATTTTATTTTAATTTTATAACTAGATTGGACCATACAAATTACGAGAGTTTCCTGGTAGAAATAACAAAATGGGAGGGTAGTGGGAGATGGGTGTGAAATATGGGCGACTCAAGGTGAGGGCTAATCATTCTGACTTCAACTGTATATATTTTTGGCTCTGGTTGACTGTAATACATGTATCGTTGTGACTCACGATCTTGCGGTCGTAGAACTCTCCGCTGCTGTATGTGGTGGCGAGGGTGGAGGAACAGACCTCCAGGTACCACGGCTTGTTGCCGTTTTCGGTGCTGCTGCTGATGGAAATGGTGTAGATGCTGTTAGTGTATCCGTCGCAGGAGCAGTGATCGCCCTGCCGGCCGCCATTACCCGACGCCCACACAAAGATGGAGCCCAGACCCTTGCGGCCCTGCACACACAATGGAAGAAGCCTTTTTAACCTTACATAGAAATGATATCAGCACTTAATTAAAAGCCTTCTTTTTCATGCCTATAAAATATTAAATATTTATTGTGTTAATTTAAGTTATTATTACTCTTCATTATTACTTTATTCATTTATTTACTTATTTATTTGTCTTTATTTATTTACTTATTTTTGCATTTAATTACTTATTTATTCACTAATTAACTAATTAATTACTCATTTATTATTTGATACTTATTTTGCATTATATTATTTCTTATTTATTTATTTATTTGTGTATTTATTCATTTATTCGTTCATTTTCTTTTCGGCTTAGTCCCTTTATTAATCAGGGGTCACCACAGTGGAATGACCCAGCAACTTATCCAGCATATTTTTTATGCAGCGGATGGCCTTCTAGCTGCAACTATTTATTTATTTACTTAGTTATTTATTATCAGATTTAATTACTTATTTAGCTATTTATTTACTAATTAATTCACTTATTTATCTATTAACTTATTTAAATATTTACTTATTAATTTACTTATTTACGTATATATTTATTTACATATTTAGTTATTTACGTACTTATTTATTCACATATTTAGTTACTTACTTATTTATTGACTTACTAATTTGTTATTTATTAACTTATTTATATGTTTACTTATTTTGTTTATTTATTTAATTATTACACATTTAAATATTTTTTGTTTAATTATTTACTCACTCACCTAATGTATGACTGTTTTATTTCAATCTTCTTTCGGTTTGGCTTATTTCAGGTGCCACAGTTTAAAATGGTACCGTAGTTGATTTAATACTACCAGTACTGCCTCTATCAGATTTGAAATAAATAAATAAATATTACCTTTTGAATGCATACTTAAAAACAATTTTTTTTTATTGTACATATTTGGAGGATTTAGTAACACATTTCTGGAGAATAATTTCCTACAAACTGCTGAAGTAATATTAAATGACTCATATCATGACATATGACTAAGCTCACAATCCAAACCATAATAACCATCCTAACCAGTCCAGCATCTCTATAAAAAAATCAGAATAGGAAAAAAAATTTGATTAATTAAATGGCTTAATACCTTATTCAGGGTTTACCACAGCGGAATGAACCGCCAACTATTCCAGCATATGTTTTATGCAGCGGATGCATTTCCAGCTGCAGCCCATTACTGGGAAGCATCCATACACACTCATTCACACACTCATTCACACACTCATTCACACACACACACACATACAAACACAAACACAAACACACACACAAACACACACACACACACACACACACACACACACACACACACACACACACACACACACACACACACACACACACACACACACACACACACACACACACACACACACACACACACACACACACACACACACACACACACACACACACACACACACAATGGCCAATTTAGTTCATCCAATTCACCTATAGAGCATGCGTTTGGACTGTGGGGGTAACTGGAGCACCCGGAGGAAACCCACGCCAAGACAACAGAAAACATGTAAACTCCACACAGAAATGCCAACTGACCCAGCCGGGACCCGAACCAGCGACCTTCTTGCTGTGAGGCAACAGTGCTAACCACTGAGCAACCGTGCTTAAATTTCATTGAGTTAAACTTATTAAAAATAGAAATAGAAATTAAATTAAGAAATAAATTAAGACTGAGCTCCCACAATCCAGACTTTAATAGCCCTCATGTAAAGTGCATCATCTCTGAACGTCCCCTCAAATAATGTGCTTTTAATGAAGTCTTAATTGAACAGTTAGTTGGTGAGAAAGCGCTTGTGTTTGTGCGTGAAGTGATTCAGACAACAACCTTTTTACTTCCCAGCTCAAAGGCTTGCTTGGCGAGCGGCCCCGGCCCGTCCACCGTCTTCCCGTCATCGTCGGGGCCCCAGCTGGCACTGTAGATGTCCACGTAATCTGGCCGGATTCCCAGAGACTTGGCCTCCACCACATCAGTCACGTCTCCATCCAGCATCCGAACACCTTGGAGGAAAAGTTCATCCAAAAAAACAATGAGGTCAGTCGTTGCGCAAGTTATTTCCAAATGTGTTCAGCTCTCTGTGAAACTCTACAGGAATGATGTCCAAGCTGCCATACAGTTTACCTTTTCTCTCATCATCATCATCATCATCATCATCATTATTATTATTATTATTATTATTATTGTTATTATTATTACTGCTATTGTTATTTATTATCATTATTAATATTATTATTATCATCATTATCATTATTATTATTATTGCTACTGTTATTATTGATACTATTATTTTTATTATCATTACTATTATTATTGCTATTGTTATTAATTATCATTATTATTATTATTATTATCATCATCATTATTATTATTATTGCTATAGTTATTTATTTTCATTAATATTACTATTATCATTATTATTATTATTATTATTATTATTATTATTGCTACTGTTATTATTAATACAATTATTATTATCATTAATATTATTATTATTATTATCATCACCATCACCATTATTATTATTGCTATTGTTATTTATTATTATTATCATTATTATTATTGTTATTATTATTATTATTACTATTGTTATTTATTATTATTATTAATATTATCATTATCATAATAATAATAATAATTATTATTAATAATATTATTGCTATTGTTGTTTTTTTATTGCTTTTGTTATTCTTCTTCTTCTTATTATTTTATTATTATTATTAAACAATTAATAGTAATAATAATAATAATAATAATAATAATAAATAATAATAATAATAATAATTATTATTATTAATAATAATAAATGTAACAATAATAATAATAGAGCTGCACAGTGGCGCAGTGGGTAGCACGTTCACCCCACAGCAAGAAGGTCGCTGGTTCAAGCCACGGCTGGGTCAGTTGGCATTTATGTGAGGAGTTTGCATGTTCTCTCCGAGTTGGCGTGGGTTTCCTCCGGGTGCTCCGACTACACCCACATTCCAAAGACATGTGGTATCCGGTTAACCCCACAGTCCAAAGACATATGGTACAGGTGAATTGGGTAAGCTAAAATGTCCATAGTGTATGTGTGTGAATGAGTGTGTTTGGATGTTTCCCAGTGATGGGTTGCAGCTGGAATGGCGTCCACTGCGTAAAACATATGCTGGATAAGTTGGCGGTTCATTCCGCTGTGGCGACCCCAGATTAATAAAGGGACTAAGCTGACAAGAAAATGAATGTTGTTATTATAATTTTTTAATGAAAATTATTGATTATTGAGAATTAAACCATGATAAATTTGATAATAATAGAAGAAAAAAATTCTAATAAATTATTAAAAGAAGAAAAGTTCATCCAAAAAAACAAGTTCAGTCATTGTGTAGGTTGTTTCCAAATGCAAAGGTCCAAGCTGCCATACAGTGGTTACTGAGGCCTAAAGCCTGATTTATACTTCTGCGTCAAACACCGGCGTATGCTACGGCGCTGACGCATAGCCCTTCGCCGTGGCCATCGCCGTCGCTGACGTGCACCTCTCAAAAAATGTAACTACACGTCGCAACGACGCGTAGCATAAGCTCTGTGATTGGTCGGCTTGGTAGCGCTGACGAGTCTGGGCGGGACCGAGAGGCGCGCGAATGGCGCGACGCCGCGCGAGCGATTGTTTACAAGTGTGGAGTCTCGTGAAGGAGCTCCGGATGGAAAGTTTTGTTTTGTGTTTACCTCATAGTTAAAGTTGTTGCACGTCCGCCGGTTACTGCCTCAAAATGAGCGAGTTTGAGCCACTTGTACATCCCGGAAGTGTTCAGGAAATGCAAAAAAGTAGCGAAGAAACTCGACACAGAGGAACATTTACACCTCACTGCCAACTAGCGTTTCGGACGTGTTAATGCAGACCGACAGAGACAGCAGCAGAAGTATAAATGCACAGCCACGCGCGTTGCCTGCGCCGTGGGTTACGCCGGTCACCTGACGCAGAAGTATAAATCAGGCTTAAATCACTATCAAGTGCTTGAATAATTGGGGTTAAAACCTAAAACCTTTTATCTACCAGCCAAAAACATTGACAGACTTCTGAAATGAGGCTGCAGAAACTTAAAAGTTAATCAATCTAATTACTTTGATTCAACCAGTCAATAAAAGTTCCTGCTCTGATACAAAACAAATGTGTGTGTTCGCTCAAAAGACTAGAAAAGAGTCTGTCTGTCTACACTATCTGACAACGGTCTTGTCGCCTATCCAAGCTTTAGAAACAACAAATAATAGTTGATCATTTGGTATCAGAAGTGGCTCATATGAAAGGCAAAGGCCTCTAGATTACACTTATTTTACCAAAATGAAAACTGATCATGCCTTGATTTTTAATTATTTAATTATAGGACCGTAAGGTCTGACTTTGCTTAGACAGAAGTCTTGTCACTTAACTGAAATAATGTCCAGTATAGAATATAAAGTCATGCTGAAGTGGAAACAGAATGAATATTGTGTCTGACTCCATCATGAGCTTGGAGGACTGCATCCATACATCTCTGCAATGACTCAAATCACTGATTAATAAAGTCATCTGGAATGACAAAGAAAGCATTCCTGCAGGACTCCAGAGTTCATCAAGACTCTTTGCATTCATCTACATTGCCTCCTCCATCTTACCGAAGACATGCTCAATAATGTTCATGTCTGGTGACTGGGCTGGCCAATGCTAGAGCACCTTGATCTTCTTTGCTTTCAGGAACTTTGATGTGGAGGCTGAAGTATGAGAAGGAGCGCTATCCTGCTGGAGAATTTGCCCTCTCCTGTGGTTTGTAATGTAATGGGCAGCACAAATGTCTTGATACTTCAGGCTGCTGATGTTGTCATTCACTCTGCAGATCTCTCACATGCCCCCATACTGAATGTAACCCCAAACCATGATCTGTCCTTCACTAAACTTGACTGATTTCTGTAAAAATCTTGGCTCCGTGCTGGTTCCACTAGGTCTTCTGCAGTATTTGTGATGATTGGGATGCAGCTCAACAGATGATTCATCTGAAAAATCAACCTTCTGCTACTTTTCCAAACGATCAACTAGAAGGCAAGTTATTATGTGTTGCTCTTACAACTGGGATTGACAACACTTTTTCCAGGTAGTGTAGTTTGAGAATGTGTGTGTTAGTTTTAACACGATATGTGCAGCATGCTGGTTCCCTTCGCTGAAACACCTCCAAAGTGAAAAGCAGTGCATTTAACACCTTTCTACTTTCTAGACTTTGCTTCGCATTTCTCCTCACTTCTAACAAGCTGCATTATTTACACCTAAAGAGGCACCGAGTAAAGCCAGACCATTTCTACATTTCTAATTACGGTTAAAAGGACGAGAAGTTCTACAGAGCAGCCAAAAAAGCGAGGCCGGTTAGATTAGAAATGTCATTAAGAGACGATGAAGTCATTGGCTTGAATCTGACATGTATTAGCTTTGGCGGCGTTTCAGTGATTAAGCAGGGGTGAAGGGGGAAAAAAAAAAGGAAAAAGTAAACTGTCGAGCCAAAAGACCTAAAGCACCATCTTTCATTGTGCTAATCTGTCCGTATCTGGCATGCAAAACTCTTTTTCAAACATCCGTCTGCAATTCTTAAGAGGAATATTTCACAGACAGCACTTCACAAATGAGACGTATTGTATAAGATGTGCGGCCAATATTTTAGAGAGGAACATGTCAGTCACTATTTAACTACTTTGAGTGCCTTTGAATCAATATCTATAATAGAAATATAAGAGTTCAACAACAATACACACATTTATTAGCTCCTGTGATATTTCAATTATTTTAAACATAATACTTTTATTTCCTGCTGTTCTCCAGCCAATC